CTTCTCATCGATCGCAGAAATAGTATTTTCTGGGGGAGGATCCACGGGGGCGATTATATCAGACACCATAACCTGTTTTGTGGTAATTTTCTCTTCAGATGGAACAAATATATCCAAAGCAGTGGGGTCAGATCCATTCTTATTTACTTGATTTTTAGATTTGAAATTAGGGTGAAGCTTATAGCATTTATCAAGGTTGTGCCCAAACATCATACAGTGAGAACAATAAGGAAGCAGTGGGGTCAGATCCATTCTTATTTACTTGATTTTTAGATTTGAAATTAGGGTGAAGCTTATAGCATTTATCAAGGTTGTGCCCAAACATCATACAGTGAGAACAATAAGGAGGTCTATGTTCCATAACAATTTGTTGCCAATATCCATTGTGAGCTGTGCCTAACCAGACTTTAGTAACATCAGATAAAGTAATATCTCTTTCAACAAGTATTCTGACTACATAAGGTATGATTAGGTTAAAAGTGGGTAAATCTAGCTTCAAAGGGTCCCCAAGTATGACACCAATAGAGTAAAGAACCTGATGATGAAAAAAGTGCAGTTTGATTGGGTAGACTAAAACATACCGTTACAGTAGGATATTCGCGCTTAGGGTCAAAATCAAGAGATCACTTGAGTAGTTTTATTGGTTTACCAGCAATGTTGAGATATTTTTTGGAAAAAATCTCAGTGTAGTCTTCAGACACGATTAGTTGAATTAATAGTTGAATTAGTTGAATTAATACGTGTCTCCCATCTATGAGCCATACTTTTCACTTTCCTGCTAATTTGAGATCATCAAAACTTTTCCTGATAACATCCATAGGTAGGTGTCCCCACTGAAATTTTTTAATAAAAGCAAACTTGAATTTATCAGTAAGGGATGAAATTTCTAGCTCAGAGAAAAAAAGTTTTGTCTTCCCACTTTTCCTATTTGCAATATTGATAAAGGGGCAATCACCTTCCCGTTGCTCTTTATAACTTGAGGGGAAGACAACCGCCGTCTCCCTATGAGAATTACCCATCACGTGGGCAAAGGAAACTTTGACAGGTACAACCGTAGATGAAGGAAGCTCCATCACAACAAGAGAAGCCCTGCCAAAGTCGGGCAGCGGTAAAAATAGCGAGCCGAAAGGTTGGGGCGAAAAACTACAGTTGTTAAAGCCGCAGAACAGTCGCAGCTTGACGAGGCAGATCGCAGAACAGTTGCAGCGAACAAGAGCGAGAGGAACCACAACGAGATGACTTGACGCGGGTCGCAGCTCGACGACCACGCAGAAGTGACAAGATGATGAAGACAAGACAGTCAGTTGCAGCTCGACGCGGCTTGCAACTCGACATCCACAGCTGCAGCGTATATATGTCGTCTCCCACGCTCGGCTCTGCTAGGGACCCTAGCAACCCTTAGCGAAAATCATTTCTCCGGCGTCGTCTCTCCGTCGTGGTTGGCTCGCGGCTTCAAAGTCTCGCGTCTCGTCGTCTCTGTTCGAAGAAGCCCACAGAGCGCATCTCGTCGTCTCTTTCGGAGCCGACGGATCGCATCTCGTCGCATCTGTTCGAAGCCGACAGATCGCATCGCGTCTTCCTCCTCACAAAAGCCGACATTTCGCGTTTGGCGTCGTTGATTGCGGTGGAGAAGAGTCTGTGCCGATTGACAGCTTTCTGTAGAAATGGCTTCAGGACGTTCCTACGCTGCTGCCCTCGCCAGTGATAACCTCGTCTCTGCCCCTCTTTCGAATATGTTTCCGCAACGATATTAAGACAATTTTGCTGACAATATATTAAGACAATTTTGCTCTTGACATTGAAACCGGATTTCTCAAAAAAGCTTCCCGTAAAAACGGTAAACCTGTAATCTTTCTCACTAAGGTAGAGATCTCTACCCTAGCTGCGCCCAACCGACTATTCTTAGTAGGTAAGTTTCTTTATGAAAACCCTAAACTTGAGCTAATTCGAAAGGACTTTGAACAAATGAAGCTGAAAGAGGATTGGAATATCGGTAAATTGGATGGTTGTCACATTCTTATTCAATTATCAAATGACGAAGACTATACCCATTTGTTTGCGAGAAGAGTTCTTCGAATATAAAACCAGGTGATGAAGGTTTTAAAATGGACGGTGGATTTTGACCCTCGTACTGAACCTCCTACCATTCCTGTTTGGCTGCGCTTCCCAGGTTTGAAGATCCACCTTTTTTATCAAGAGTTTCTCTTCGCTTTAGCGATGGTATATGGTAAATCCCTCAAAGCTGACACGCCTACAGTGAATCTGACTTGGCCTTCAGAAACTAGAATTTTGATAGAAAGAGATATTACTTTACATTTTCCGGGAGAAATATGGATTGACACACAACATCAGGGATTTTGGCAGCAAGCAGAACTTGAACAGATACCACTTTATTGTACCAACTGCTGTATGTTTGGACATTCTCCTTCTCAATATTATCAGTTGTATCCGAATTTAAAACCTTCAAGTAAAAATGCTTCTGGATCTGCCCCATCTCATACATGTCCCTCCACCGCTCCTGAAACACCGGTTGACACGATGCCACCTCCCTCTCCCACTACCGGAAACAATACTGTCTCTGTTCTTCTAACTGATATATTGGCAGATGGTTTACTTGGGTCTGATAATCAGGATAGTATTGAAGCTCCACATCCCAAGGATACATCAGGTGTTGAAGAGACATGCTTACCATCTCTTCAGAATAAGAATGTTGTTACTGCTAGTCAGGAGCTGGGGGCTCATTTTCTCCTACACGCCCAACAATCTGTTGACCACACCGATCAGATGAGCCAGTCTTCGGATGAGGAATGACAGGTATACACATCTGGAAAGAAAAAAGAATAATGGAGGCACACCCCAGTTTGGGGACTTAATGGATGATATTCTAGTAACTTCGGGTAATGGAACGACACTCAGCAATTTGTTAGCTGTCTCCGCTCCTAGAACCAGAGGCAGAGGCAAGACCAAACTGGCTTGTGCCTACAGCTTATTTCCTGCAAGTTTTATTTTTTTGTGTTTTATCTATGTTGTATCCTTTTAGGATACTAGTGTCTGATGTATCGTATGGGTAGGATACCTTTTTTGGGTCACTCTCATACAACCTCTATGAATCTTTTCAATTTAA